TTTGCACAACATGAATAAATGAACACTTATGAAATTATCTATAGAAAAATAAAACTCTTAAACCCATAATTCCACAAATTTCAATGGTTAAGCACACTTTAAATATACATTTTCATGCTTTCATCAACTTGCCATGGTTAGTGGTTAAAAAGGCACAATAGTGTTCATTCTCACCATTCCCTTCTATATATAAAGGAGTATTCTTCTTTGCTACACATACTTATATATTTTACACTTATATATTTGAACAAATATTCATTAATATTTTGCTATTTATTGTAAATGAACACAAATCCATGAATTCAAGTTCATAAAGATTATTTGAGATAAACTATAAGAGTAGTGGCTTGGCAAGCATGGATGGATGAATATTGCCCGTCTGGCAAAGTAAAGTATTTGCACTACTTAAGCTTAGAGCTGGCGATGCTGCCTGACTTCATTAAGAGGTGGAGGCCAAACTTGATCTAAAAACTAAACCATTTGATGCTAACTAAGAGGCCTGGAATCCCATTAAAAAATCAACCAGAGATACCATTTGAGTCTCCATCACCAATCTACAGCCATATTTAATGCTTCAATGGCTGCACAAGTTTCATTATATTGAGACTTGGTGAAAATGATTATATTTTACTTGGGAAAATCACCAAAATCCTAAATAAAAACAACTTTGCTGGCGATGCTCAAGTACCCCTTGTATGGTATTTTGTACGGACAGGAGATTACTAGAAGTAGAAAGGCTCTAGCAAACCAATAGTCATTAGCTAAAACCACTAGACAACTCATAATTTTACTTCAAAAAGCTATCAATAGTGCTTAAATCCACTCAAAACTTGACAGTTGTCCTCACCCAACCTAGATCTACTTGTTAAGTTGCTAGGCTACTCTAGCCCCACAAACTTAAAATTAACAAAATGCCACTGCATTTATATATTAGTATTTCCTCCATTTTTCAAGGGATTTTTTTTAGAGATTAAACAGATCCAGCTCATTCCTCACACACCAAACACTGTCTTTGGCTTTGAAGAACTCTTCATCTTCAACCTCTCACCTGATACAACCAAAATTTCCTAAAAGACTCCATTCTTTTCATATTTTATGCATTTCTAGCCATATAGAACACACTCCAAATTTGCAACACGTCATGGCTAGGGAATTGCATGCTACAATTTTAGATTTTGGGTTGTTTTCTTGAGCATCAAGAGATCAAGCAATAGAGTTAGCATCAAGAAATGAGATCAAGTCCTTTATTCATAAGCCCCAACAACAATCATCTTTCCTTCTCCATCACTCTTTCAAGTTTATTTCTTTGGTTTTGTTGAAATTTGAAGAAGATTATTGTGTTTCCAACCACAACATGAGGGCTACTCATTTTAGAGTGAGAGTATTTGTCAAGGATAGGGGAAGGCACATTTATTGTGTTTATTATTATGCTAAAATGTATTATATATAAATGTGCTTCTGAAGTTGTAACATTTAATCTTTATATATTTTCTATTCTTGTTGCTTCTACCACAATTTACATCTCATTTTCCTTATTTTTGGTAGTTGTGTAATTAGTCTTGGGCTCTTGAAACCTCGTCATCCCTACCCAGCTCTCCTGACTTGGTTGGGGGATTTATGCTTTCAGACTTTGCTTGGGAACTTGATGTTGGCCATCTTTGCTAAACAAGAGAAGATGGCTAGTAACAAGTGGCCTCTCACACAGAAAATGGGTGCAAGCTAAAAGGACCTTGCTAGTAAGGAGGGCATTTTAGTCAGCTTCCATGACATTAGCACTGCTGACTTATTGACCCCCCACCCCCCACAATTTGAAAACAAAAATTAGGGGACAATCTCTTGTAATGGGAGT